TCCAATGTCATTGATCAGAACCAGTTAGCGAGGCGCAACGAAGTCAATAAACCGGGTTAACTTTCTTGGATCTTCGAGTGAGGAGCCACGAGACGATTCTCAAGATAAAGCAAGGGACACGGCACAGAGCACCAGTCCAGGTGTGAATCACACAGCAAAACACAGTGCGGTTAACATTCATTAACTTCACCGGATATGACTTGCCTGCAGATGTAGAGGAGCAGGTTTAATTTGCAAGTCACTGTTGTAGGAGGCGTCCCGTGCGGACTGACGAATGAAGCACAGAGCGGCTTCTTTAAAGCCCTTGCCACTGCCAAGATGGCGGCCTCCGGCAGACCCGCAGACCCCGCCGGGGATGTCCTCAAAGGCTGCAGCGGTCCGGCAAGGAGAGCATCTCCGAGAGATCGTTGACCCGCAGCGCGTCTTCTCGCGGAGGAACAATATCGACCCGCTGACCTTCACATCGCGGATGGAGGATACCGACTGCGGGACGCGACGGGCCAGTGCACGGTCTCACGGGTAAGGAACGGTGACAATCGGCTCGCCGATGCATTCATATTTCATGCTCCTTATCATATCAGCGCGAGAAGAACCGGAATGAAATGGATCAGAATATTTGCTTTTCCGGGGGCTGTTGCCACGCTGGACGGAGTCAACTGCATGGTTGCATCTCGAATCCACGATGTACCATGCCCTGACGAGTAAAGGGAGCGCCGTGTGCGCTTCGATGACTGCAACATGCGATCTGACAACAAAATCAATAATCAAATTCTTAATCAATATATTATTTTGCCCGAGAGTAATTTCATCTCTTTCCTTGCATTTTTTCCATAGGCAATTGCAATTTTAGATGGCATCATTAATCATGAAGAAACAGATTTGACAAGCCTCTGGGTAATTTTTTTTTTAATCGAGGAACAAACGAATAATGAAATTCTGCCAACGTTGCCAAAGTTTCACGTTCCCTCAATAAACATGGGAAATGAACCCTCTTGACAGCAGATTTTGAATCCCTTCGATGACACCCTGCCCGGACGGCAGAAATTTTTAGAACTTCAGAAGTTAAAACGGTTTTCAGGTCGTGGGTGCTTGCAAAGGGAAAAAAAAGTGGTATGACGTTTTTTACAGATGGATTTCTTTGAGAAATTAATTTTTTTTTTTTTTTTAGTGATTTGGAATAAAAATTTTCTTTAAAATTCCAATGGTAGACCAACAAACTCAATGATACGAAAAATATTAATAACCTAATTGGACTGGTACAACCAACTTAAATTGGGGTTTTACCCCCGTACTCTTTTGCAGCATTGAAAGTGCGAGAATCGAGATTGAGAGCAAAATTTCCAGTGACGTTTTTGGCTTCATCGTGCCTTTCACCGACGAGGAACTGATGACGAGAAAAGATTTTGCACCAGGTTCCACAAAACTTCAATGCTCGTATTGACAAGCTATGGATTTCGTGGATTTATGGATACTTTTCAGAGCATTGGGCCGGGTTACTCCAACCAAGGTTGTTACGAGGGCGTTGCGGTATGCGATACATTTCTCGGTTGGTATACCGTGGCTCAATACCGGAGGGGGTGGGGGGAGGGGGAGAGGGGGGAAGGGGGAGAGGGGGGAGGGGGAGAGGGGGAGGGGAGGGGGGCCTTACGTCGGTATTATGCCCTTCGATTGAAAGCAATGGGATTCGATTCCTTCGTGGAGGACGTGTCCAGGATTAATACCACGATTAAAGTTGTTAGGACTGGAATTACCGACTGCTCGGGAAACATCGAGCTGAGGGTGGTCAAGGCGCAAGTCGAACGCACAAATGACTGATCTTGGACCTTGAATCCGGATTAAATACACTCCTGTGACTGAGGAAGGCTTCGGTTTTCTGTGGGCGTCACCATGAATGGAGATGGGGAAGAAAGCTGACTAGGAATTTTTTTTTTTTTTAGAAATGGCTCTTGGTATGGCGCCGTAACAACGGTAAGATTAGGGGGGGGGTCCTTCCATACCGCGGTGAAGGTATGAATGCGGGCGGTATTCCAAGGTTTTCATACCGTGGCGATAATATCGAAAATGTAGAAGTGGCATGATTGGCATGATTATCACGAGAACCGAATACCGCGGTATGATAAAAAAAATCTATATATCGCAATGCCATGCTTGTTACTCGATGACGGCCCCCCCCCATTCGCCCAATCATTCGAGACTGAAATGCGATCGTTCTGCCATGTTCTGTTTACCGAACCCCTTTGATTAGCATGTGTATGTCCTTCCATCCGTTGATGTTTCGGGCAGCTGCCAAACAAACGCGGTGGTCGCCATTTTCATCACACCACTGCTAAGGTGTGATAATGTGACAAAATTGTTCCACGGGAGTCAATAACACGGGCTCTTGTACTCATTTCTGCCACCACTAGCTGCGATAGCAAATGCAAACAGTCGCACCCGACTTGTATGCAGTGAGAGTGATATCGTCTAGCTCGTGAAACAGGCCCAAAATGATGCTATTTAAGAGACGTCTTCTCGCGTGGATCAACGATCCCGCCTGCAGGTCGTCTCAACGGACGCCAAATGCATTTTGCATGCCTCGCGTTCCTTCCTCAGCAGCTGCCGCTATGTGGAGGCGTGCTCAAGGAACGAAGGCAAGGACTCGGATGACAGTCGTTGGATGGCACTCGTCTCGATGCCATTCCAGTCGTCGCATCCATAAACGAATTTGCGTGTGTCGAGTGATATGCTGCGCATCAGCGGCTCTTACGATCCTATTTTGCGTGTATTGTCGCTGATAGCTGCGTTCATCTGCAAAGAATAAACAGGTGCGAGGCATTATCAGCAATGCATGCGATAACGTCTCCTGGGGCACCTGGCGACTTGAACGTTGGAGTTCATCGCGATCAAATTCGGTCATCCACGAGACCGTTACTGCTGTCTCATCGAGGTTCGTGTTGTAACGATGGCTAGATTTCGTTTCCATCATCCTTCAACGACTGCCAAGTCATCTCGCAGAAGTCAAACAGAACATCGGTTCAAGTGGATCGCTACTAATGAATGTAATAATCTCAAAAATGATTTCCTCAAGAACTCTGTTTTTATTTGAACAAATTTCTGAAGCTAAATTATCCGAGGAAAGTTTATTCGACTTCCATTCCCAGGGAGTCCCTTTATCGAGACGGCCCGATTCTGATCATTAACTAGCCCCATCCTTCCCCACCGGATGTGACGTCGATACCGAGACTTTCAGGTGCAATCCGAAGTTCGCCGGCGAGTTTGGAAGTCGGAATGGCCCAATGGAGTGCAAAGTTGAGGATCTTCCGCACTGATGAGATTGCAAGTCTGAATGTCTCCGGAAGAAAGACTAACAACTTTCTAATCAGAAAGACAAGATGACGTTCCATTCGGATCGTTATGGGATCTGAATGCGGGAATGTTGCGGATGTGTCACAGGGATATCAATGTTCCTTTTTTTTCGACAGTAAATCTATGAAATACCCGTGATTCAACACGTGGCTTAATGACTTGGTTATGCTTTTGATTTGAATCATGCGTCGTATCATGCCTCGATGGATACGACAAGCCTTTTTCGACTCTAGCTAGACGGAACTTCCCCGAAAATTTCAGAAAATCCATAATCTGAAAGGCGCTTCAGAGCAGGACCATAAACAAGTCATGAGATCGGAGTGGAAATCTTTCGACGTCGGCATTCTGGTGATCACAAATGTATCAACGTCGCATCAACGTCAACATAGGTTGAGCGACGTTCTGGGGAGTCTCGTTTCTCCCCGGCGAGCTTTGCAATGTGCTGACGATCGAAGTTCTTGCGATGCATTGACATGACCGAGCTCCTCGGCCCTAAGATCCGCCGCTGAGGGAATGAAATGTGCGACCATTTCGCCGAAATTCGTTTGGTCAGGTTCCAATTCGAAAAACCTGATTGCGAACATCAGGGTGGCTTCAAGCCGTCAGCAAAATTGAAAGAATTGGCAATCCGAGGGTGTGAAAATTCACATCTCTGCCACAGGCATTGGCACAGTTCATGGCAGTCTCGATTGCCACTCGTATCGTCAGGGAATCGTTAGGGGAATCCTCGAGGTCATTCTCAACATGCACATCATTTCGTGTCAAAAATCATTAAAAAACAAAAATTAATTTAAAAGTGCAAATTCTGCAGCGTCTTTGCAAAGTAGAATTCGTGATACGGTCATTCATTGAACAATGGAGAAATGCCGTAGAAACGTTTGTTCTGATCATGTGCAGCCAGAATTCAATACATTGAATACAATTGTCGCTTTGTCGATATCACTTTGAGACACTGTGACGTCGTGAGTACGTCTAGTCACGACTGATATAACGTTGCAGAGGTCGATCAGCGACGACTTTGCGACGTCGAACTCACGTCACGCGTTCCAGGGGTTCGTATTCCCGTGCATTTCACCGTCTAAAATTGTACCTAAATCAGGCAAAATACGGAACGGCGAGTGGAAAGTAATGACATAAGGGTACGTACTCTGTACTTGTAAATCCCATGCTGCTCCTGACTTGTGAGGGGAGAAGAGCCGAGTCAAATCTGATCGAATCAGAAAATGGCGATTCTGGATTTCAATCTGAAATTGAAACGTTTTTGCTTTCTTCATATTCGGACGGACTCGTATCTCTCCTCTTGTCACCTGATCCTCCCTTAAATCTGTCCGCAATTGCTGCTTTTGCGAGTTCTTGAGCTCCTGCTCTCTGTCAAGGAAGGAAATAAACCAAGACCCAGAGAAAAAAAGAGAAAGCAGGAGCTCCCGTCCCTGCCTGGATTGAAGTGAAATGGTCAGTGCGTTTCGAAAGATGCTGCCCTTGAAAGCCGTGTAAGGGGGTTCGGTTGAAAATTTACAAAGATTCTCTCGGTTCGCTTGGTTGACTGATGGTTAAACTCAAGATAAAATTTTTGGGGAAATAAAACTCAGATCGGAGGGGACAGACGATCCCGACGAGACACTTCTTTCACCGGGAGGAGCCTCCATGGCGGCTTCCACGAATTCACGTGTTGCGTTCATGTGATCGAAGCATTCGGAGTCTAGGACCGTGGCGTCCCTCTCTTCCTGGCTGCGACAAGCTAGTTCTGATACGTCAAATTCGTTTGGGAACTGATTCGTTTCAGAATGGTAAGGCAGGCTTGAGGCTTTCGGTTAAAAGCGCAAAAAGTTTCCGATGCCATCGAAGTACGTAATGTAAAAGCGAATATCAATATCCAGAGCAGCCTAGGCCCATCTTAAAATTTATTTTCCATGCAGCCCCTCCCATGCCTACCTGTCCTACGGGAGCTGGTACCATGTTGATATTATAGTCAAACCATTGCCCTTCTTAACTATGAAGCTCATTTGAAGTATATAAAAAATCATGAAAAACAATGTCGAACCTGCATCGTTCAACGTCAACGTGAGAATCGTGAGGCTACTGGCTGTCATTGTCGAGAGAGGGGCAAATGGTAGGGATATGAATAATGCTGTAGCTACAGCACCATGAATATATCTGGATCCAGGTAGCCCTGAATATAGACATACCCAATACATTATAGAAGGTGAATAGCTTTTCAATGGTTTCACAACAGCTTTCCAAATGGGCCTACCTTTTATGGCAGTTTTTACCCAAGTTGGCGTGTCACAAGTTTAATCTTGCTTAGGTGCTAGACTTGGAGAGACTTTTCTTTTTAAGACTTATGAGTCTTTCCAGGATAGCCTTGATCTGAGTTACCCAGCCTATGCCTTGGCCAAGCCTGGACACAATGAACATTGAACTATGATTTATCTGGTTTTCCATGGGTGTCAGACATTTCCCACTAGATTCTGACACCTATGTATAGGAATTTATGCAATAGGTGGGTGTTGGAGACACCTGAAGAAGTTTTTGAACTCAATGAAAAAACATTTACGTTGACTTGACTGAGCCTTTCGTCTAAATGGCAAAAGTAGGCTAGGCCTATGCTGTTAAACTTGAAATATATAATAATTCAGTTAGTTTGAGCTCTAATGAAAAATTACTGAATCTGAGACTCATGAATTTTTTTTGAGAGAGAATGTCTGAATTTACTTACCTTTGGATTATGTGAAGGCTGTGGTTGTAGTCTATATACATCTTACATCATAAACTCCTTCTAGCATGTCCCTGCAGCTCAATAATTAATACCATTGAATAAATTTCTCCAGGTTGTCACTTTAGTCCTTCCTTGTCTGCTCTTGTTTTCTTAGCTGACTTAAGAGTTACACATGTTAAGTTAGAGAATGAGGCTGAACTTCCAAAGTGCAGCAGAGGAAGGAAGGGCAGGGGAGAGTACTCATGTGGAAGCATAGAACATGTCAGTCTGGGGGCCACCCTGGATATGCCCAATAATTCTAATTATTTTAGATATTAGTAGCAGTCTCTGTTGTAAATGTGATTAATTACAGACTGATAGGAGTGGCAGAATTGAGTGAAATACTGATAAGCATCTCTATAGCATGCTTGTGATGGTATTTCTTTCAGAGATATAGCTTCTTCAAAAGACTTAGATATAAAAGTATTGACCAATTAAAAAAACTTGATTCATCAGTTGATAAACTGCTTGCAATCCACAGGATTACTACTTAAAATTCAGTCATGGCTTAAATTGATGTCACATTCATCTTGGTCTCACTCTACTTGTAATGAGGAAACCAGACTTTGGATCCAAAACAGAATGGACCTGCCTAGCATGTTAACAATTTAATGAATTTTTCATATGCTAAGTAAACTGCAGACAACAAAGTTTCACTAGCTTCTGCCTCTCCTGTCTATATTTTTTTGCATTGCCAAAATTGCAGTTTGTTTGGCCTTTTATATTTTCAGTCAGTGACACTGCATACTGATGTTGGAGACATCAAGATGGAGTTATACTGCGACAAGTGTCCTAAGTCATGTGAGGTGAGTAATGTGAATCTAGCTTAGCTGACAAAAGCTAAGGTTATTTCACAGGATGTAGAGTGGATCCATGAATCATAACATAACTTTCTCTCATCAAAGTCATGAATCCTTTTGCAGTGATATCTTTTGTGACCTAGAGATAGTTCATTAGAGCATATTGTATTTTGTCTACGGAATTGAATAAGAGCAAAGACAAAGGAGCTTAATATTCTTTCAATAGAAGAAGGTAATGCAGTTTATTATTTTTCTTGATTATCTACCATTCCCATAGGTACTATGGGGAAATGGCAGATATTGCAATCAGTCTGTCACTTTTTTTTTCATTCTGTCTGTCTGAAGTATCCATAGCAACTGGACAACACAACCCACTGCACACATGCAACTTTTTGCCTGGGTCAGGGTGACTGTCTTCGACTAAAACATCCACTTCCCTTCCAGCCCTCACAGTTGACAGATCCATAGTAGACAATAGGGGAGATTGGCTGGTCCCAGCAGCGTAGATGGGGTTGCTAGGCATACACATGAAATGCCGCATCTGGCATCCTACACATACTCTCCTCCCATCTGCATGTGACGTGGATGTTCGAACCATCGAGAACATGTCCAGTTATCTGGGCCTTTTCATATTGGCTTATGCTGTACCAATGACAGCTATTATTTATTTCAAGATTGGATGGTTAGAATGCGGTGAATATATATAATAAATCCAGTGGTACTGGGGCCAGTGGAATGGCAGATCTGTACCTGGGCTGGTACTCTCTAGTTATAGATTTTGATGGTAATGAAGATGGCTGTTGGTCTGGTGCTGACCATGACTTGATAGATTGAAAGATTTTTTCTGAATGCCAGGATGATGGTCAGATTACAGACTGAGGAAAACTTCTGATTTTGAGAGTAAGACTATTAAGAGGGGGACAGGTCCTAAACTTCCTTGCTAAGCTTTGATTTTTCATCATTTGCAGAGGGACTCAATGATGGATGACAATATCCTATGAGCCTTGTCAGCCTACCATCTGCATAAAATATTCCCATGGGTTTTTAAATTAGTCTCTAGTATGGTCTAATTAGGAGTTTAAATATGATTAATCACATCCTTGATTTGAATTAACTATTCCATATTTTTAGTTGCTAGATACTTGAGTAGGCCTATTTTTGTTAATTCCTTTTAAGTCCTTGTCAAGTCATAATCAGGGCGAGAGAAGTAAGTTAAAGGGGTGAAAAAAATTTAAATTTCATGAATAAGTTTTGATCACGAGTGCAAAGAACTAAAAAGATAAAGAATATAGATTCAGGCCATTTTCAGACACATCATCTCTGAGGTATTTTTTTACCATCACAGTGTAGGAATTCACTCTATTTTCAGTGTGATTTTGTTGATATTATGAATGTGTGACAATGAGAACAGAAGCTATTATACCTAAAACAGTCCAATACTGGGTCATGAGTGACTCATGCTCTGATTTAGCTGGTTATGATTATGGCTCCACCATTCTTCCAATTGCAAAAATATGCTGGCTTAAAGGATGCTTTGGTTCTAATTTTATGATTAATCTTGCATTTGACTGTGAAAGAATAAAAAAATGAAATCTGATATCTTTTATCTTTTATTGCAGAATTTCTTGGCATTGTGTGCAAGCGGGTATTATGATGGTTCCCTCTTTCACCGCAACATAAAAGGCTTCATGGTACAAACAGGAGACCCAACTGGCACAGGAAAAGGAGGTTCTTCCATATGGGGTGAAAAGTTTGAAGATGAAATCAAAGAGGAATTGCGAGTAAGTTATGTTTAAACAGGTATAGTCCTAAATGAACTTAGAAATAAAAGGTGAACTGTATTTTTTTTAGGCAAATATGAATTATGATTAGGTTCTTAGATGTAAAAATATCAGGTTTTGCTGATAATAGTTCTCCATTGAAGAATTCATTTGGTAAATTGTAACTCAGAATAGTGGCTTGATGGTATCTATACATACAGTATATAGATGATCGTGAGTGAGTGAATGACTGATGCTAATTCTAATGATGTTCTAGAGAAGTTATAAATCTGAAATTTGGTACACAAGTAGCTATTGAGGTATGGAGTTCAGGAAAAAATCAGACTTTGTTGGTGTATGCCCTTGGGGCATATTTATTCAGGGGGACGTTTTAAAATAATTTATTTTACTTCAGCGAAGCAGAGAGACATATAAAGTTGAAAATGGACATGAAAGTACCTATTGAAGTGCTGATTTCCAGGAAAATGTCAATTTTCAGATATATGCCCTGGGGGCACATTTTTTCATGGAGGCATTTTATGTGGTATTTTTGTTTCAGTCAAAGAGAGAGATATGGAAAGCTGAAAATGAGTGTAAATGTGACTAATGATATGTTAATTTTAATAAAATTTTCACTTTAAAGATGTATCCTCTGGGGGCATAATTTTTGTGGGGACATTTTCAAATAATAATTTTGGCTTCTGCCAAACAGACTATATATAGTGCTGGGACAAATGAAATGAAGGAAATTCTTAATTTTATCGTACACGCCACTAGGGCACATATTTTGGTCGTAAAAAGCTCTGAATTTTTTGCTGCCATCCTTGAGGTAATTTTTTTTAGGGGGGGATGAGGAATGAGTAAACTTGCTCAGTTTCGTTCAGAGAAAGCTGATTCTTACAGTCTTGCAGTCATGAAGAAGACTTTGATTTATAGAAGAATTTGATTCTCAGTTTGAGAATCAAAAAGGGATGCTTCTAATGTATTATTATTATTATTAATTTTTTTATGGAGTGCACAGTGCTGAAGGTATGTCCATAGTGAGTTTGTTTGCCTGAAGGGCAAACAAACTCACTAGTAATAACATATTATATGTAAGCATAGAGATAGTGGTACCCAGTATGTCTAATTATTTCAGTCAATTATATTATTGTCAATGGATTAGTCATGTGCCATATATGTTATACTGATCAGGTTGATTACATGTTTATAGTCATAGTAAGGCTAATTTTTTCTCTCTTACTTACCTTGTGTCAAGAGTTTGTACAATCGAGTTCTTCAGACTTTGACAGCCTCTGGTGGTTGATCTATCTCTATTCTAGCATGATGCCCGTGGTGTTGTTTCCATGGCAAACAGTGGACCAAACACCAATGGATCTCAGTTCTTTATCACCTATTCAAAGCAGCCTCATCTTGATTTGAAGTACACTGTTTTTGGAAGGTGAGTTTCTATTGTTATTTAGAATATGGTCTCCATTGGTTTTCATAGAAACTGTTTTCATTGCAAGTAACTCCATCATGTGCATATCACTAAATGCAAATTGATAATAAAAAATGGGTAAATCACTGAAAATATTTGGTTGCATGTTGAACCTGAATGAATTACAAGTAATGTGCTACCTATTTACTTTGCTAGAAAATTTGTCAGAAGTTTTGCTGCCAATGTATACCTTTGTTGCACCTGTAAATGCACAATGTACATGCAATTTTTATTGGTATAACTTAAATCCATTTAACTGGATGAGATTTGATCGACTCAAGGAAAACCATCAGTGGGCAACCTTTCCAAAATTAAAACTCTCCACTCCCTGCACTTTTTGAAACTGATTTAGTTCCTTCTTTCCTTAGAATTGCCCATGTAGCAATCAGATAGGTTGAAAGCTGGCTTTATTCAGGTTTCATATTAGATTGGTGTGGCATTTCTTATGCACACAACAATGCTGATGGCTAAGGGAAAAGGGACTATGTTGGTTTTATGACTTGAAAGGGAATGAAGAAGTTCTTTCCCTTTGGGAAGATGTAAAATGTGTTGTTGAATCAAGTAATAGTAATTTGAGAAGGGTAATGTCAAGTGTATGTTCTTCAGGCAGGAAGTTTAATCTAATTGATACTCAATTAAATTCAGGACTTATGTCTTTCTCATATGCATTGACACAAGAAACTTGGGCATAGGAGACAGTAGAACCAGTCTGTACTGCTTACCTGGGTATGAGTTATTCATATGACTTTCTCTTTCTCAGGGTCATTGATGGCATGGATGCATTGGAGGAGTTGGAGAAACTCTCAGTCAACCCCAAGAATTACAGACCTGTTACTGACACAAGAATAAACAGTGTGACTATTCATGCCAATCCTCTGGCAGGTTGATGATAGCTTTATGGAAATAAATTGTTTTTAATTTTGTACCTCAGTATTCATAACTGCACTCTATGATCATATGATTATAGAGTCTGGGGAAAATAGGAGTATTCGAAGCAAAATGTATCAAGTAATCTTCTATTTCCTCCAGACTTGCTTCTCTTCTATATGACCGACCATTTAACTTCTGGAAGTGGTAGGTTCTCTAACATCTCTCTGGCTCAATGTCAGACTGGCTTCACCATCCATATTATTAGGTGCTCATCTATCATAGATCTGGTGTTAGATCATATGTCCATTTGTTTCCATTTCCTAATATGCCAATTGTGATTGGTGTGTTTAAATGCTAAAATATAAAAGTATGACATCCGTTCCCCCCCCCCTCCCGAAGGGAGAAGGGTCTATCCCTAGCGTCCAAAATTACGTCGAAACGGAAGGCATTTCCTTTTCCTGAAGTAAAACTGAGGGTGACATCCATTATTGCTTCATACGTTCAGTCACGTTTTGGCACCCCTAGTGAATTTGCCCCCTGTGCACATGTCTGAGGCCGGCCCTGGCGTTCAGAAATTCACTGCCATCCGCGAAAAAGAGGGAAAAAAGTGGGGAAAATGAGTTACCTACGCATCATCAGTGGATGATGCCCCCCCAAGTCGTTTGGGGAAAGGGGAATGTCGATGTTTTGTATGTTTATACCGATGGTGTTCAAACGGCTCGAAGTATGAAAGACTGAAAATGTTTCGGAAGAAGGGCTTAGTTCCGTCATAGGTGACGTGTGAAGTTATTTGTAACACTTGGAATGTCTTCAAAAGTTTGATGAGGTCTGCAAGGTGTAATTCGCAGATGTGGAAAGTGTGGAAGGTATGTACTGTAGAATACCGGCTGCAAGTCAGTCTCTCAGTTTGATGTTCATCTCTCTCGTGTTGATGGAGTGTTGATAAATCTCGAATTCTATCCGCAACTCCGGAGGTAATTGGTGCAGATGGTTATGTGCGCTGCAAACCAGTCATCACGGGAGAGAGAAACCAATTTCAAGATGTATATTATCGAACACGAATTCCAAGCATGCGTTTGGGGAAAAAAAAAGGAGAAGTTATTGATATTGCTTCTGCAGACAAGGCTTTTCCCTCAAATACAAATGAACTGGGGGAAGGTCCTGAATGCGTTTTTTTTTTCCCGGACGCAGGAACCTTGAGCCTCTGCATCAAAGTCAGATGAATGGATCTTGGGGAGCCGTTCAAAATTGGGGTTATTGCGTGAAAGCTTTTTTGGGGGGGAGGCTTTCTAATGGGTTCTATACGCGGGACAGATTATGACGACAGGCGGTATCATGTAAGCCAAATATACCTGTCATGACGCGTTCATACCGGCAAGATAATCTTTTGTGACGCCTTGTGGGAGTTCCGCTGGTGACCGTTTACCTCGCGGAATGTTCATTTCGTCGAATGATGTATTCGCCGACTTGTGACTCACCGATTACTCAACTTGAATGCGTAACTCCTCGAATTCTTTCCTGCCAACTTGAACTTTCCAAACTGGCAAAAATCGTTCACAATCTTTCATTAAGTCAGCGAGTTGAATATTTGAAGAGTTCAAGCCGGCAAGATAGAATTCGAAAAGTTGAGCAATCGGTGAGACGTAAGTCGGCGGCGAATCGTCATTCGATGAATTGAACATTTGGCGATTGAATTCCACGATTCGTCACTTGGCAAGTTAAGCGGTCACCCCATAGGGAGCATATCTTTTGTGTCGTTGATGCTTATGGTCATTTTTTGTTCGTTGTTTAGCCAACTAATTATTCAATATCTACCTCCTTCGTTTTATTTTATTTTTCCTCATAAAGCTGAATTGGTTAGGACATTGAAATGCCTCTTTCCCCCCTCTCGCCCTATATTTTCATATTATTTTCATATATGATCGCGCCTTCGGCGCTCCATTATCTAGGATAATGATTAAATCATTAATTCATTTTCAAAGTGGCAAAACTTACCGATACTTTTTTTTTATTAATCGAAATCATTACTCCGATTATTTTTTGTGTGCCTAACTTCAAATCTCCTCATGTGCCCCTTTTTGTCCTAGCGGAAAATAAATCTTGCAATACAGGGTGTATGATAAGTAACTTCCTATTTTGAAATGCTTATAACTCTTTTATTTTTTGACGAAATTTAATGAAACAAACAGTGAATTATCCAACAGTTAATGGGGTTTTTATTCGTCCACATTTCACACTTCCACGTATGCTCTTTCATTGTCAACACATTTCCTTAAGCGAACAGGTATGTTTCCCACTCTTGATCGTAACACGTGTCGAGGAATGCTAAGAACATTGTTGATTCTTCTAGTTCCAGTTGGTATATGTTATCATAAGCGTAGTATGGATGGAAAAAGTGTGGGGGGGGGGGACCACGGGAACTCTACGCCGCTGTATGTTATGTGGAGTATTCTATTAACCCTTTTTTTTTCAAATAGAATGTTATAATTAATTTTTTTTAAAGGGGTGGCTGACCTGAAGGGGCAGCTTAACTCGTGACGCGTAAGTTATACTTCCGATTTATAGAGGCTTACTACAGCTCGAATTCGCATTACAAGGTAGCACTGGGCGATGCATTTCACTTTCGTGTAGTAATACTGTGAGTGAGGAAAGCGTAAGTTTTCTAACTGGTGAGGTTTTCGTTATGTTCTGTTATTTGCAGTTACTGAGTAGTGGTATCGGCACTCAGCCCTGGTGGAGCTTCACGTTTTCCCCACTGGGTTTTTCTTGATCGTAAAGGAAGAACGGAGACTACGAGGAAGGGAAGAACTGGCTCAGCCTGAGGGTGTGCAGGTTTTGTTCCCGCCCCAACTTTCCCTGCCCTCTTGTCATTCAGACCTGCACCCGGCAGCAGACGGCTTCGATATTCCCTCCATCGCGAGCGACGCCGTTCATGCCTTCATGGTGAATCTGGAGTTCGTTTGAAGGACAACATGTGGCGGATTTACACGAGAACGCTGCGGTCACCTAGGGTGAGCTCTCCAGTCCTTGATGGATTCGAGCCTCGGTACGATACGATGGGGTGCTCAGGCGCAAGGGGTTCAGACCCATGAAAGCGCCCCGCCCCTTGACCATCAGCTAACTCCTGAACGTCATTTATCGCAAGTAACCTCTAACCTTTCGAGCCTCCCAAGGGTTGTCACAACCTCTGACAGGCTTGAAAGTGCGGCCCATAGAGTATTTCCATTGAATATACATTTTTTTTTAACAAGTGAAAGGCAGCGGAACGATGAGGTTGACGTGGTCCGAGCACGTGCCTTGGATCGAAATAAGCTTAGCGGAAACCTCTTCGCGGGGAAATTTTCATGCGATATTAACTCGATGTGTCGTCCATCCTAGCACGCTTTTATTTCGGGTCTTCTGCGCCGGACCTGGGCGTCATCCGTGGCTACAGAGGGCGTGCCTTACCAGAAAGTCTTGAAGGATCAAGCCGTCGATTCGCCCACCTCCCTCCCCGCCGAGGCCGACGTCGTCGTCATCGGTCTGTCGAGCCACGGGACCCCGTACAGTCTCTGCATGACGTAGGTTTTGTGTCAAGTTTTGGCGGCGGGAACACTAAGGGTGGATTTTTGAACAAAGCATTATACGATAATGCAGCTTTATTTCGGAGAAAATGCATTATAAATCCGGTAAGTAAAGCTGCATTATCGGATAGTGCTTTGTTCAAAAATCCACCCTAAATCGTGAACCCCGAACCCATTGGAACTGAAATAAGGTGAAATTTACGGTGGGGTCAAGATCATGGGGGAAAAAAATATTCCTTCCTGAATCAGTATCACAGTAATTCTGAGATTTCCAGGGAAGGCGACAGGTCGTGGGGGTTTTAGTTTTTATTTCATTTAAATTTTATTACGATGTGAAATTTCAGAAACTGTCTTGTATGTATTTTTTTTTTCTGAGGAATATTCACGTTTCTTGTAAAAGACACTCAATGAAAGCAGATTTAAGCAGAGTAGTGGGACGCAAGACCGCCCTTTTTTCTGAAATACAAGACCGAGGCCTTTCAAGCTCGTTCTCTTGGAGTACAAGACCAAATGGAAGCAATCCCCAAGGACAGGCTTTGAAATTCGATTCTTCTTCAACGGGTATTCATTTTCATCGGCGATCTCCTATTACCCAATGCGAGAGGCCAAATGAACCGTGCCCTTATTGGGCTGTAACTCGAATACTCGGTGCAGTGTTAGTGCTTTAGTTTCCTCGAAATGATTAATAGGTCTGCGAAAATTCTCCCGTATGCCTCGTATTACCAGTGCAAAAATTCGGTGCCATTTGGATTGTGAAAATGAGCTTCTTGCCGTTATTACTAAAGTCCAGTTCAGATCTTATCATTTGCAGGCCCAGAAGCATTTTGGGGATTGCTCTCATTAAATTTGGCAATCCGATTCCTAGCTGTGACCCGATCCTTGAACTGTTGCAATCCTTTAGCTTTTTTTTTCTTCTTTAGATCATCGTTTGAAGAAAACATGCGGGGCAGGCTTCATTTCCTGGTATTCTCAGAGAGAAAGGGGGGTGCATACATAAAAAGTTTGAGAACCACTGTGTTAAGTGAAAGGGCCTCCTTAATCTCCAAAGTACTCCTTGGACTGTAAGTATGTAAAAATTCTAGGCTGTTTCTTTCGAACACTCAATCTTGCCCATTCCAGTTTGCCATTATTGGTGCTTGAATTTGTAAAGAAAGTCTGTGGCACCATCAGATCATGAGAAAACAAGAATGTGGGAGAGAGCAACTTCAATTCATTGCCTAGTGCAAAACCTGTACAGCCTCTTGCAAAATTTATCATGAGCCAATTTATCATTTCTTTGATGTAGACTACATCAGAGAAGGAATCGAAGAATATAGCAGAAAAAATCACTGTTGTCACTTTGATACCAACTATCATTGAAATTCATGTTTTGTTCATAAATGTATCATGTATAACAAATAATTTGAAATTAAGTACATTGGTAAAAGTACATGCAAATGGTACATATATAATTTAACATATAGTACATAATAAAAAATAGGGCTGTCACGATAGTAGTTTCAAAATATCGATGCATCGACCTAAATTATCGATAGTGTATCGATGCATCGGAGGGGGGGGAAGGATTCAATTTTTTCTCGCCTCGTTCGGAGCGTGGACCTTTATCTGTCTTCCATAATCTCGCGCTCGGGAGGTGTGACCTTCGCAACAAGTAATGAAACCTACCATGCCTTCAAATATCGAGGATGATATCCAGTCATCGATGGATGTCTCAGGACAGCCCTAATTTCTTCTTATTGCCGTTGAGAATCAGTTGCCAAGCCCGTTCATGTAATTTTTTTTTTCTCATTTTCTTCGTCTTACACGGTCTTCTTTGGACATCGGCACAGGCAGATAGCAAACCTACCTATGGTGCCATACCGGCGTTTGCCGAAACATATAGATAGGGTGAAGTACCACCAATAGATCAATATTCTTCGTCAGAATTCCTTTGAAAATACCTCGTTCTGGATATCGGTGGGTCGCGAAATTTTCTGTACGTCAGCAAGTGGGTCGCGATTCAAAGACGTCTGGGAACCACTGATATAGTCAGTCCAGCATTTCCAGAATTTGATCGTGATAAGAAATTGTAAGCCCATTTGGGTTACGCCGTCTCTTTCCCCACACAGATGGACTGTATTGTACCGTACTCGCCTCAATCAAATGGGACATTTTCCCTTTAATATCTTTTCCCGATACATCGCGATGGTCGAAAAAACTATTGATACCTCCAACGATCGATAGTGGTATCGATGCATCGATCTATCGTGACAGCCTTAATAAAAAATACCCCTCCATGCATCAATATGCCATGACAAGGTCAACATTGCAACTATGAAGCTATGAACATAACAGAGCAGCATTGAACCCTGGCATCAGAAGGTAAGGAGTGGAGTTATTGTGGGTATGGGACAGTGATATGATAGAAATCTTTGAGGGCAATGCAGCACTTCTCTGCATGCACTGTATCTCTCCTGCAGAGGAGAATGATCCAATCAGCCTCATAAAAACCATGAAGGATGACACTATGAAGAGGGACATATGATGATACACTGTAGCAATCATTGAAAATGCAGAAGGAACATTTTTAGGTCGATCAGTGTTGCAATTATATTGATGCTCTTTAATAGTTCTATTGCTAGGAAAGTGTAAGATGTGAAGTCTGTCTAGACTCCTTCAATAACTTAATATTTCTTAAACTGAGGAAAATGCCAATATCATGGTGATAGGCTTGCTGAAGGAAACAATTCACTGGTAAATTATTTTGATACCCTCTCAAGCAAGCATTTTGTTGAGAGGCAATACTTAAAAAATTTCATTTATAAAGAAGTTTAGAAATTTGAACACATTCTGAAATTCCTGATATGGTTGATCATTATACAAGTCTTCTGTACCCTAATTTTCAACAAATCCCTGCGAAGTCAAAGTTAAAGAGTGACACTGTTTATTTGGGACACTTACAGCAAATTTATGTTTTTGAAGCTTTTCAGTTCAACTATTCAATCTCTGCTGAGATCCTATTATTTGAAGGACTACAAATGTCAAAACTGAACTGTGCCCTGCTATTTATTACAGGTGGTGGAAGTTTGGGATGTAGCACTCTATACCATTTAGCAAAATTGGGGAAATCTAAAATTGTGTTGCTGGAGAAGGACAGACTCACTGCAGGTACCACATGGCATACAGCAGGTAATTTGATGCTCTGTCATGATAGAACTGACCTTGCATACAAGTCATTGTGAATTGAATTGCTTATTTTGGTGCTTACCTCAACATACTATTCTCACTAGGTTCATATAGTTGGCTGTTATTTCCATGACTGGTATTGAAAAATTGCAGGACTGTTGTGGCAGCTGAGACCAAATGATGTTGAGATCCAGCTTTTGGCACATACCAGGAATCTCCTCCTCTCCTTAGAAGAAGCTACTGGTGTTTTTCCTGGTTTCACTCAAAATGGAGGTCTCTTCATTGCTTCTGGGAAGGCCAGTGTCTTGAATTCTGATGTGTACTACTTGTTGAACTTTATACCTGTATCCTGCAACACTAGGAATGTTGCAGGAGGGAACTATAAATGGATTGTAATTAGTAACTGCTGTCTTTCACAGGAAAGACTGGAGGAATACAAACGCTTGAAGACCATTGGTCATGCCTTTGGGGTGGAGTCCTATGTTTTGTCCCCTGAGGAAACCAAGAAACTTTACCCACTCATGAATGTAGATGATCTATATGGAACACTCTATGTACCTGGAGATGGAAATATAGACCCAGCTGAATTTTGTACTGCTCTTACAAGGGGTGCCAAGCAGTTAGGAGCTCAAGTGAGTGAGAAAATGCATGATATCAAAAATACTTAATATAGACAAGTTGGAATTGCCATGCACTATGTTATCGACCACTTCAACAGTTTTTCAGTCGAGTACATTCTCATAGGTGGTTGAGAAGTGTCCAGTGACGGGCCTACTCACCGAAGAATCTTGGAATGGCAAAAGACGAGTCAGTGGTGTATCAACACCAATTGGAACCATCAAAACCAATTGCATAGTTAACTGCTCAGGTGTGAAATTCACCTTTATATGGCTTTTTTTTTTGCTTTCTATCTTCTACTTGCATGGAAAAAGCTGATGCTTCTCTTTTTTTTTCATTGTACCCAAGGTGCATGGTCACCTGATATAGGTGCAATGGCCAAGGTGAAAGTGCCTCTGACTGTTATGAAGCATGCATACATAGTAACAGAGAAAATCCCTGGTATTGAGAATATGCCCAATGTGAGGGACCATGATGCCTCCGTGTATCTCCGACTTCAGGGAGATTCTCTTCTTGTTGGAGGCTATGAACCCAACCCCATCTTTATTGATGAACTTGGGAGGGATTTTGCCTTTGGTCTCTATGAGCTTGACTGGGATGTTTTCAGTGTTCATATTGAAGGGGCAGTGAATCGGGTCCCAGTTCTTGAGAAAATTGGCATCCGCTCCACAGTGTGTGGTCCAGAGTCTTTCACTCCTGATCATAAGCCCCTCATGGGTAAGTTTCTATTTTGAGGCATTCACTGGTTGATGCATAGTTTCATTCTCTTTACAGTTGAGTATATTCCTTAACTGCAGGTGAGGAGCCAAATCTGAAGGGATTTTTCCATGGCTGTGCCTTCAATTCTGCTGGGTTGATGTTGGGAGGAGGATGTGGTTGGCAGCTTGCAACATGGATTGTCCAGGGCCGCCCATCTCTTGACATGTTTGGTTATGACATTCGAAGGTTCACCCCACGTCTCACTGGAAACACCCAGTGGGTCAAAGAAAGGAGCCATGAATCTTATGCCAAAAATTACAGCATTGTCTTTCCACATGATGAACCACTGGCTGCACGTCTGGCCACCAAGAGTCCTTTGCATAAGGTACTGTATGAAGCTGTGCAATTGTGTCTCTGGATGCCCAGAAAAAGTGTGACTTTGATGTAACTGTGGTAGGTCTTGGAAGATCAGGGCTGTCTTTTCCAAGAGAGGCAGGGTTATGAGAGACCTGGCTGGTTTACACCCTGTCCTGCACCTCTTAAACCTTATGATTTTTATGGCTCTTATGGCCATAAACCACACAGCAATTACACTTACAATGAGAGACTGCAGGATGACTACACATTCCAGTTTCCAACCCATCACAGTCAGGTCAGCCTGAATGCACAGCCTGAAACTTTCTTGCATTCTGGAATCTTCTTGATCAATGAGTGTCATGAACTTTTTTCCAGATAGAGAGGGAGTGTTTGAGCTGTCGAGAGAAGGCTGCGGTGTTTGACATGTCCTACTTTGGCAAGTTTTATTTGACTGGGAAGGATGCAAAGAAAGCAGTGGATTGGATCTGTTCAGCATCAATGGATAGGAAACCAGGGACCACAGTTTATACATGTTTCTTGAACAAGAAAGGTGGCATAGAAGCAGATCTCACTGTCTCCATCCTGAAGCCAGAGAAAAAGCTTGCCATCGAACCAGATCTCTTGGTATTGGCTTGTGGCTGAAGTACATGTAATCTTAAAAGGAATGTGAAAAAGCAATTCCTTTTTTCAAAGAAAACGTTGTCTTTGAGAAACTTTTGAATTAGCATAATTTATTGAAATTAACTCTGCTTTGAAGCTATGACCATGCAAATGAGAAGAGTATAGGACATGACCCACCTCTGCTATTCCTTATTGAATGGGGTGATAGAGCAGTGGAATTTTATCTCTAAAGATAAATTTTCCCATTTTTAGCAATAAAATTTATACTTGGCAGTTTTAGTTGCACAAAATATATGTTCAGATACTGTTATTTCCTAAAAAAAATTGCTTGTGAATTGAATTCTTTTTCTTTTCTACTTCAGCAGGAAGTTTTGCACCAGTACAATAACATCTGCCTGTATAAGCATATAGAGTTGTTGTCTCCAAAATTGACAAGGCATGATCATAATATATCAGTAATAGGATGCAATAGGATGAAGGTCAAGGACAAAGATAGTGTATGTTGCCTGATTACTCAGCCAACATACACAATGAATGGTCATTGCACCATCAAATCAACTTAAATCCAAGTAACTCATTTTCATTCTAACATGGTAACATGTATATCTTTTCAGTCTTTCAATTGAATATCTAAGGAGAATGACAGTTTGAATGATCATGGAGGTATGATCTAAAAGAAATGTAGTTTTGCAAGGTCATGATGACATAAGTAATACTACATCTGTGTTCAGTTTTCTGTGATCTGAATTGTTAGTGAAAATACATGCTGCTTATTTCCTTTAGGAAGGAGGAGGGTATTACATAGCAGCGGGAGGAGGATCTTCTTACTCCACGTGGAGTCACCTCCAGTCTGTGATTCAAGAACAAAAGTATCAAGTAGAGCTGAAGGATCTCTCCCTTGACATGGCTCTTATCTCTGTTCAGGGACCCAAAAGGCAAGCTCCTTGTACATTTTAGTGGAGATCTTATATATGCACAGGCCATTGGAATTGCCACCTTTTTTGCCAACCTACAGTCGAGTGATCCTTCAGGAACTTGTGGATTGTGATCTCAGTGATGAGGCCTTTCCCTTTTCTACAAACAAGGTTGCCAAAGTCAAAGGACATGATGCACGCCTACTAAGAGTGACTTTTCCTGGAGAATTGGGTAAACTACCATATTGTGTGCCACTTAATATTTCAATGTCTATATGTCTAACTGTTTGCCTGTGAGTCATTACTTTTGGTAGACAGACATTGCTCAGTGTTCATCTGCTCAACTTCCTCTGATTTTAGGTTGGGAGATCCATTGCCCCAGTGAGTCAGCTGTGAAAATTTACCAAGCATTAATGGAGGTTGGAACACCAAAAGGACTAATAAATGCAGGATATAGGGCTCTTGACAGCTTGAGCATTGAGAAAGGTAGGCCTACAAGTGAATATTCATGAGAGCTCCAGCACCTGGTGCTGGCATTGTATTAGCACTTGCAGGGCCGCCTAGAGGTTTCCAGGGGCCCAGGCAAAACTAAGCAGGAGACCCCTTGAGGCCCTTTGGAGGTCTCCCTTGGGACCCCTTGATATGTGGGGCCTGGGGCAGATTGCCCCCTTTGCCCCTTTACACATACATTTATGTTTGCATCGTACTGTTTCAAGTTCATCACAAGTTTCATGAGTTCTAGACCCATCCCCTCCATAGGATTCCGCCATTGGCATGCAGATGTCCGAATGGACACAACCCCTCATGAGGCAGGATTGGCCTTCACTTGCAAGTTGAAGAAGGGTACTCCATTCCTTGGTCGTGAAAAGGTGGAAGAGCAGAATCAGAATGGTGTCTATAAGAAAATTGCATGCTTCACACTTGATGAGTGAGGATTATTAATTTCTTCTCATTTTATGTTCATAGATGTTCAATCCATTGCATTGGAGATTTTTGGGGATCATTTAACAAGGCACCATTCTTGGGTTCCCATATTGTCTATTGTTAATAGTAAGGCAATATGATAGTAATATTTAAGAAAATGACTGGCAGATCTGGGAGAGGAGGGTTGGAGTAACTTTCCTTGTGGGATTTTTGCATACCACTTTTTTTTAAAAATACTTTCCAGAACTTCCATGGAATCCACAACACATTAGAGGAGTAGGAGCTAGGGATTAATTTTCCTCATTGGCTTTGCCTTGTCTTAGACACCTCATTCACTCACTAACACCTATCCTGTGAAAAATGAATGACATTAGATAAAAAGCTAAAATTTCACACTGGTGTGAAAGAGACAACACTTTAACCCTTTGCACTCATCCATTATACCTCCTCCTATAAAAGAAATTGAGCTCCACTTGTAAATCACCTCAAGAAAAAATCTTTGGAGGACATTTACAAAGTATCATGCAAGTAAACTTTCATTCTGTACACAGAAAATTATTTAGTGTTACAGAGGTAGAACAGGTGAAATGGCTGAAAAATAAAGTTGAGTTGCTGGGGCAGACCATGTCATTTAAATCTGAGGCAAAGGGTTAAAGCATTCAGCAGTACTGTGCTAGTGCTGGAAAAATAATGCAACTGTGTCACAGCAATCAATACTTTTTGAAAGCAAATTATCAAAGAATATTAACAGCAATTTTGACAAATTGGACAGCTACTTTTTTTACTGCCTATATTTTGGGAAACTATCACATCAACACCAAAACTGACCTGTCCTTATCTCCCTATTTCATATTTCAAATTCCATTTACATCTTCATGGAAGTCACTGAAATGGACTTAGGCATACAAAATTGTGAAGAAAAACAGATTATGTTACTCAATCTGAGGGATTGAGTTGCATCACTTCATAACTTTCCTTCACAACTCTACATACAGTCCACTGCAGCAAAGGCAATGCAGTTTTTCATGATGATACATGATGATTATGAAAGTTGACACAAAATGGATTGATAAATTAGAATCAAGGTCAATTACTTGAAAAAAAAATCAGTGAATATATTGAGATGAAGGTTATATGCTAGTACTAGAAATCTGCTCTTTCAGTTATCATTGTGTCAATTTCCAAGTAAAGGTTATAACTTAAGTTATTAAGTATAACTTAAGTTGCACTATGTGCAAATGAAGATCATGTGCAAGAGCATCATGAAAATAGTTTCCATTTTGTTCTTGTCAATAGACATGTTCCACTGTTTGGATTGGAAACCATCTGGAGGAATGGACTGCCTGTTGGACACATCTACAGAGGGGAATATGCAAATGCTCTGGGAAAGAGCATAGGATATGGGTGAGGCCTCTAGTTTTTCTGCCCAGTGTCAACCTCCCTCACACTTAGGATGAGGAACTTTTCAGTAAAAATGCAAATTGGGAAAAACCTTGTCCAGTCCCACCAAACTACAATAGAGCTTTTCTAAAACAAGCTTAAAATTGTCAGTTGAAAATGCTACAACAAAGGAACTCCCACTCATTTATCCCCTCGTTCAATTTTATGGGGCATCAAATTTTGATATTTACATGTCTTATATCCAATGCAAAACCAATGTCAAGGTAGATTTTCTCAGTCTATGCTAAAGAAAGATTTTCAAAGTATTATTGCTCTCCAACTAGATACTACCCAAAGGGAAAAGAGTGGAGAGGGGGGCAAGTGGAGGGAACCCCTTCAAAACCTACATCTGGTTACACTACTGAAATTATGAGAAGAATATTTCATTATTCTTTATAATGACTGGATAAATTATTTTAGCACAATTCAATCCTGAAAGATTATGATAGTGCAGTAACAATAACCCAATTACCTATATTTATATTTCTTTGCTGTATTATTTTGTGGTGGCAATGGGTGAATTTTGTCATATTGTTGCATTCTTTGAATTTTGTTGCATCATTACAGAACATCACATGCTGTTGCGAGGAAGGCCTTCATAGTCTTCCTTCTTATGGAAAATTGAACTGGCTTGACTTACATGGACTGGAAATCGTTATTTTTTCACTTGCAGCATTACTTTTTTAACACTAGTTGTTGAAGATGAAGGGGTTTTAGTGGACATCTGTGTCTGAAATGGCCCATGATAGATAGCACAAGAATGGGCATATAAGATGTGCTGAAGTACTGAGCAATTAGTCATCCCCCCCCAGCAAAACTTCCTAGTCCTCATAAAACAAAACCATCTCTTGTTATAATTATAAACCATCAGTGCTTTCCTAATTTGCTTCAAGTTTTATGAGACTTAGACATTGCAACCTTTGATCGTACTGGAGCCATTACATCATTGAGTCATTACTTGCATCAAATAGGTGCAGAAAACTGCTCTGTAACTGTTGGATCCTTAATGCATTTTATATGTAAATATCACATCTTGAATGATCATCTGATGTGAATTAAATGAAGTTCCAGCTCTTTTGCTAATTTTTGAAGAATGTAAATAAAATATGTCAGGGAGAAGGTTTATTGAAAGCTGAGAGAAAATTCAGCTGAGAAGCAGAACATCTGAGGTTTTTATGTTTTCCTTCTCTGGGTTGAAATGTGTGTGTTTCCACTGGCAGGTACATTCATCATCCTGAGAAGGAATTAGTAACAGCAGACTTCCTGGGGAATGGTACCTATGAACTGGAATCTTTCTGCAAGAAGTACAATGCTCAGATACACTTGAAGTCCCCCTTTGACCCAGGGAACAAAAGAATCAAGGGTATTTATGATGAACCCTTGCCTGTGAGAATGAAGACCTCCTGAGCCTGGTAAGACCAAGCTTGTGTGGGGCTATGATCCATTTAGTAGCAACTAAATTTCTTCAGACCAATGGAAGTGACTATGCCTGGGAATTTGTGAAAGTTGCTAAGACAATGTTTTGAAAAGTTTTTATGTATAGACCATTGAAAAGAAATACTCAACCTCCTTCAGCATAATGATGCACCAAACATTTTGTAAAATGGTATTTTGCTACATGGGGTAAGGATATACCAAATATGGACACTTGCATTGGAAGCCCTCTATTCCTACCACATTTTATATGGAAGCATGCTACTTTGCAGCCATGTTAAGCAACTGATTCCCCACTTCCAAACTAGATATATAATCTCATGATGCACAGTCCTCATTAATTGAACAATGAACCATAGGATCTGGGGTACACACTTTATCATCGAAGTCCCACTGGTGACTCAGGTTCTTGGTTTCAGGGTCATAAAAGTAGATCCAAGTTTCATAACCTCTGACAATGTTTTCAACATCTTCTGAGTCCTTCCTGCTGAATTCATCCAGCATTTGGTGGCAAAATTCGATTTGAGCTTGTTTTTGGGTAGCTGACAGTGCATGGGAGATCCATCGAGCACAAATTTTCCTAGCTCCAAGGCACTTGTATATCATTTTATGTACTGTCCCTTCAGCCCCTTTCCCAATGGTCTCACGAATCTCATGGACAGTTAATTTCTGTTCTTCATTCAGCTTGTTCTGAACTTTTTTGACATTTGCCTCAGTTGAAGCAAATACTGTCTGACCCTTGCGTGAAGTGCCATCTAGGCAGGAATGCTGGGTTTGAGAACTGTTATACCACTCATGCAAGACTAGGAGGGATGGGGCTTGCCCCTGAAGGGCTTATTTTAGCTTGCTGTGGCATAGGGAAGCTGGATCACCCAGGTGAAAGAAGCACAAAATTATTGCATGCTCAAACTGTTATACCACTCATGCAAGACTAGGAGGGATGGGGCTTGCCCCTGAAGGGCTTATTTTAGCTTGCTGTGGCATAGGGAAGCTGGATCACCCAGGTGAAAGAAGCACAAAATTATTGCATGCTCATCCCTTCTCAATGATTCTAACTTAGGTACCTGGTCACGTCTCCTTTTTTGAGCACCACAAGTCTTAATTATGGGCAAAAATTATAAAAAATTTCATATTAATCATTGAAACCTTGCTAAAGAAAAGGGCAATAATGAGATTAGTCCAAGATAAGTTGGTGAGGCTGATTCTTGAAACTCATTTGAATGCCCCTCGTATTCAGGGTAGCTTATACGATATGCCATTAGCTATATGCCAGAGCTTGGCAGCACCAGGGTAACTGTTTACCCCACTTCTAATACTCAAGCATGATGACCATACAGAAATGAGATTTTGAGCCTTGGTATAAACTTGCATCATTTTACTCTACTTCTGCCCACAAAAATGACTGCTCTCCCTGTTTCAGGTGCCTGTTCTCAAAATGTTTTTTAAAATGAATGCAGTACAAGAAAAAGCTGATCTTCAATATATGCCATATCTGAGTTAGTGCTTGCAGCACTGAGAAATTTAATCAAAAGTGTTGCACTATAATCTTGAGTTCCATCTTGATTATAAATTCACTGATACTGTCATTTTCCCTCTTTATAACATGATCTTCACAATTACAAATATTTCCCATCATTTCTATTATATTTTCTAATTTTATTTTGCTGAGAGGAGATGAAAGATGTCCATATCCAAATATGGATCCACATGTAGGTCTGCCGTCCTTATGGGACATCACTCATGTACCAATCCTTTATTATGTTAGAGAAATATCCAGTTTCCCATGCTAATGCTATGAAAGCAAATTTGGATATTCTCCAGTATTACTCACCAATGACAGATGTTTCACATGCTACCATTTCTCCAAAGTTTTGAGAGAGTGAGACTATATCAGAACAGCAGAAGTAATTCAATTCTGCACCCTGTTCCCAATTCCCATTGGGATGACATGCACTGTCTGCCATTGAAATTGCATCACCAAGTCATACGGTACAAGGAAAAGTTGCTAAATATCTGAGGAATGGAGGAAGTTGAGGGTGGTTTTGGCAATCTTAGTTTCCTTTTCTTATTTTCTCAAACTAATTTGCTGTTGTGCCATTGTTGAGTGTGAAGCCATGCTGAGACATCTCCAAGGGTAATTTGGTCTACTAATTCAAGCATTTGAAGTTATGTCTATTGATTGTTATGCATGTTAAGGCTGATGCAGGCTAAGTCCCCCAGGTGACCATCCTCAACTTGATTGAGCATTTGATCAACATTTGTTAATCCCTTGACTGTCAAACCCTGGGTATTCTTCTGTGAATGCAGTCATGCTTTGTTCTCATCCTCATCATTTATTACTGTAAAATAATCTGTTTGTATGAGAATCAAAATTTAATGGTTTTGTGAACATTTGATTGAACTTCCTGTGTTGGGTTTTTTCTGTCATTTAATTTATAAACAAGGACGTTATATTTTGATAAATAAAAGTCTCAGATTATATTTTAATCTGTCAATTCCCCAATTAACCTACGTAACCTGGTTACAAACGATTTGTAGGAGTAGTCGTTTGTAGTTAGTGTTGCTCAAACAAGTTGACAAAAATAGCCTTTGGATTGTTCTCCCAGCATGGCTTGGCAATTAAACATTCAATGCTGTCACAAAGCTAAGTGATTAGAGGGAAGGTGCAGAAAAGGAAACTAGGCAGCAAAGTCCCTTCCCCCCTTCTCCCTTCTTCAGGCCATTAAGCAAATTTTCTGTTTGGCTTCATCTATGACCTTGAATCTTTACTTGAAACTCCTATAAAGTGTTCTTGTACTATGTTTTACTAATAAATTTCAGGGTGTTTCTTAAGAACAATTAGTAAAACTCTGCTTTAAATCAAGGTATTTTGTGAATTTTCTCATTGAAGAATCAGCCTATACCCTTAAAACTCTTATTTCATGACATATTGGTTAGAGTTTCTATACAAAATTTGCAATTATTGCTTGACTCCTTGGCAGAGAGTGCCCAAAAAGTATTGTATCCAAAAGACATGAGGGGTTAATGTTTCTCAGTTCATCAAAGGAATGTACTCCCTCAATTTGCACATTTTGTTTTTCCTTGTATTCAGAAGTTGGCTGGGTGAGTTGTGGAAAGGAGGAGAAAGAAGTTTGGAATTTACTTTCCCATCCAACTCTTCATGCCACCAGCATCTGTTTTGTTCTCCTCTAGTTTCCCTTATTGTTTTGATAGATTGCTGCAATCAGGCTACATTAGCCAGCAAAGTTATACATTATGGTTTCCAACATGAATTTTGTACTTCTGCAAAATGATTATGTAGGACATTACTCTCACAGGAGAATTGTGAACGTTGTAGTAATGAGTAGATAATGGATTTCAAAGCAAATCCATATTTTTTTATGCATTCTCATAGAAGCATGCAACACAGATAGGAGCATGTATTATAAGTAGAGGAACTAATTGATGCAGTTTCAAAAACTTGCAAAAATGCATATTAATGTTTATATTCTCCTGCAGAATATTTTCACCCATTATCTGTGGGAAAATGTGAAGTTTTCCAGGAAAACATGTTTTCTTTATGAGCAAAAATTAAAANTGATCAACATTTGTTAATCCCTTGACTGTCAAACCCTGGGTATTCTTCTGTGAATGCAGTCATGCTTTGTTCTCATCCTCATCATTTATTACTGTAAAATAATCTGTTTGTATGAGAATCAAAATTAAATGGTTTTGTGAACATTTGATTGAACTTCCTGTGTTGGGTTTTTTCTGTCATTTTAAAATATTTGTTCCTGCAATATAAAACTATTTATTTTCAGAGTCTAATATAAAATTAGACAGTTAAGGGGTTAATTGGATGCATTGGACCAATGTTTGCTAAACATCCTCATCAGCAAACATCAATCAATTGCTCAAACAAGTTGACAAAAATAGCCTTTGGATTGTTCTCCCAGCATGGCTTGACAATTAAACATTCAATGCTGTCACAAAGCTAAGTGATTAGAGGGAAGGTGCAGAAAAGGAAACTAGGCAGCAAAGTCCCTTCCCCCTTCTCCCTTCTTCAGGCCATTAAGCAAATTTTCTGTTTGGCTTCATCTATGACCTTGAATCTTTACTTGAAACTCCTATAAAGTGTTCTTGTACTATGTTTCACTAATAAATTTCAGGGTGTTTCTTAAGAACAATTAGTAAAACTCTGCTTTAAATCAAGGTGTTTTGTGAATTTTCTCATTGAAGAATCAGCCTTTACCCTTAAAACTCTTATTTCATGACATATTGGTTAGAGTTTCTATACAAAATTTGCAAATATTGCTTGACTCCTTGGCAGAGAGTGCCCAGAAAGTATTGTATCCAAAAGACATGAGGGGTTAATGTTTCTCAGTTCATCAAAGGAATGTACTCCCTCAATTTGCACATTTTGTTTTTCCTTGTATTCAGAAGTTGGCTGGGTGAGTTGTGGAAAGGAGGAGAAAGAAGTTTGGAATTTACTTTCCCATCCAACTCTTCATGCCACCAGCATCTGTTTTGTTCTCCTCTAGTTTCCCCTATTGTTCTGATAGATTGCTGCAATCAGGCTACATAAGCCAGCAAAGTTATACATTATGGTTTCCAACATGAATTTTGTACTTCTGCAAAATGATTATGTAGGACATTACTCTCACAGGAGAATTGTGAACGTTGTAGTAATGAGTAGATAATGGATTTCAAAGCAAATCCATATTTTTTTATGCATTCTCATAGAAGCATGCAACACAGATAGGAGCATGTATTATAAGTAGAGGAACTAATTGATGCAGTTTCAAAAACTTGCAAAAATGCATATTAATGTTTATATTCTCCTGCAGAATATTTTCACCCATTATCTGTGGGAAAATGTGAAGTTTTCCAGGAAAACATGTTTTCTTTATGAGCAAAAATTAAAAATTTCCAACAGTCACATGCTGACTAGAATGGACCAACTTTGCCCAGCAAGGACCTGATTTTATCTCCATGTTTCCCCTTACCCCAATCTGTGAAAGAAAGGGAAGCTTGGCAATATTAAATTATTTCTTCTTCCAAGGAATTCATTTTGGTTAATAAAAAGCATATTTTTTTGCATATTTTGGGAATTACTCTTGCATACTCTTGCAAAAATCCACTCCTTAGCAATGAGAGGGCATCTTCTAGCACTCAGACTGTTTTTTTAATAATGAAATATCCACAATGATCATAGCTAATACGGAAATGGGATGTTATGAATGTGAATGAACATTAATGATTTCCATTGATTTCTATTAGCAATGGAGGATGATGAAGACTAGCTCAACAATTCCAGGAAGAACCTTATTTCATTTCTCCTACAAGTCCAGCCTAAAATCTTCCATGGACTTTAATAAATATTCAAGTTTTCTTTTGCTATGAGTATATATAGCCACTCTTATGATGAAAAAGTAAAATTCTAAATTTCTACTGTTTTCTTTTTTAAATAAAGATTGATTTTGGACAAATTAAAACAAAAATTGGAGGGTGGGGAACTCTTGGAAGCTCTGGGGAGAAGTAACAAAGCAACTCCATATCAAGCCATAGGTCAGGTTAGATTCTCTCTGCTGAAAAGAATGGAAAAGTAACAGCATAGCAAGTAAACCCATTATGCAAATCAAAGGAAATTGTTGATTTAAACATGGTTGGTGGCAATTGTTGATTTAAACATTTTTAGTCCCAGTCCAATTGAGATTCAACAGTAGCTGTTCCAATGATGGGGGTATTCCACCCAGCCATAAAGGGGTCCCTTATGATCTCACTGATATGCTAGGGACTGTGTCAAACAGCAGCAGGCCACTACATGATGCAGTCCCTAGCAGATACTGGAAGGTCCATGACTGATGTGGCAATGAGGGATTTAGCCACCAGATGCAGACTTGTATGGAAGGCTGTCCAGATGGGACTGCTGGTCTTTCATGATCATTAGTTCCATCCATGCCTTGGGATGAAATCAAGCTATCACTGACTTTCACTTTTAATTTTCACCATCCTGCAATATACCTTCCATACAAACTATGATTATGAGGTGATGGTACTGCAATCATCGCACTAGCAATCACAAGGCAATTCCTTCATTGTGCAATGCCTGCTACATCTTCAGATGCCCTAGTCCACTCCTGGCCACACAGTAGTATGCCAGAGACCATCAGTGGGTTCATCTGTAATGACTTGATATCATTTCTGGTAAAGAGGACATATAAACTGGTTCAAAAGGGGGGGTTCAGGTTACCCTGTCAAGACTAATTCTCATGCCAAATATGAGAATAAGAAATAGGTTTCCTGAGAGATAGTCTTTTAATATCAATGCACAAGTTCAAGGAGCTAGTTCATTTTCATGCTTTCATCTTCAGGAAATAAGAAAATAATGGTGTGGATGTAATGTTTAGGCTGACATACATGTATCATTCCTGTGTTGTCTAGGGGAAAAAAAAAANACCCATTATCTGTGGGAAAATGTGAAGTTTTCCAGGAAAACATGTTTTCTTTATGAGCAAAAATTAAAATTTTCCATCAGTCACATGCTGACTAGAATGGACCAACTTTGCCCAGCAAGGACCTGATTTTATCTCCATGTTTCCCCTTACCCCAATCTGTGAAAGAAAGGGAAGCTTGGCAATATTAAATTATTTCTTCTTCCAAGGAATTCATTTTGGTTAATAAAAAGCATATTTTTTTTGCATATTTTGGGAATTACTCTTGCATACTCTTGCAAAAATCCACTCCTTAGCAATGAGAGGGCATCTTCTAGCACTCAGACTGTTTTTTTAATAATGAAATATCCACAATGATCATGGCTAATACGGAAATGGGATGTTATGAATGTGAATGAACATTAATGATTTCCATTGATTTCTATTACCAATAGAGGATGATGAAGACTAGCTCAGCAATTCCAGAAAGAACCTTATTTCATTTCTCCTACAAGTCCAGCCTAAAATCTTCCATGGACTTTCATAAATATTCAAGTTTTCTTTTGCTATGAGTACATATAGCCACTCTTATGATGAAAAAGTAAAATTCCAAATTTCTACTGTTTTCTTTTTTAAATAAAGATTGATTTTGGACAAATTAAAACAAAAATTGGAGGGTGGGGAACTCTTGGAAGCTCTGGGGAGAAGTAACAAAGCAACTCCATATCAAGCCATAGGTCAGGTTAGATTCTCTCTGCTGAANAAATTTCTACTGTTTTCTTTTTTAAATAAAGATTGATTTTGGACAAATTAAAACAAAAATTGGAGGGTGGGGAACTCTTGGAAGCTCTGGGGAGAAGTAACAAAGCAACTCCATATCAAGCCATAGGTCAGGTTAGATTCTCTCTGCTGAAAAGAATGGAAAAGTAACAGCATAGCAAGTAAACCCATTATGCAAATCAAAGGAAATTGTTGATTTAAACATGGTTGGTGGCAATTGTTGATTTAAACATTTTTAGTCCCAGTCCAATTGAGATTCAACAGTAGCTGTTCCAATGTTGGGGGTATTCCACCCAGCCATAAAGGGGTCCCTTACGATCTCACTGATATGCTAGGGACTGTGTCAAACAGCAGCAGGCCACTACATGATGCAGTCCCTAGCAGATACTGGAAGGTCCATGACTGATGTGGCAATGAGGGATTTAGCCACCAGATGCAGACTTGTATGGAAGGCTGTCCAGATGGGACTGCTGGTCTTTCATGATCATTAGTTCCATCCATGCCTTGGGATGAAATCAAGCTATCACTGACTTTCACTTTTAATTTTCACCATCCTGCAATATACCTTCCATCCAAACTATGATTATGAGGTGATGGTACTGCAATCATTGCACTAGCAATCACAAGGCAATTCCTTCATTGTGCAATGCCTGCTACATCTTCAGATGCCCTAGTCCACTCCTGGCCACACAGTAGTATGCCAGAGACCATCAGTGGGTTCATCTGTAATGACTTGATATCATTTCTGGTCAAGAGGACATATAAACTGGTTCAAAAGGGGGGGTTCAGGTTACCCTGTCAAGACTAATTCTCATGCCAAATATGAGAATAAGAAATAGGTTTCCTGAGAGATAGTCTTTTAATATCAATGCACAAGTTCAAGGAGCTAGTTCATTTTCATGCTTTCATCTTCAGGAAATAAGAAAATAATGGTGTGGATGTAATGTTTAGGCTGACATACATGTATCATTCCTGTGTTGTCTAGGGGAAAAAAAAAAACAGTTTTCTGTATATTGCCAATGTACAGAGCTTTGAATCCTGGCTATTCTCACTGCATGCATGAAAAAGCTGCTTCTAGGATTGGCTCAGAGTTCTTTCACTATTGTTTTACTCATGAACCTTCTTCATGTTTTATTCTCTGCATTAGGAATATTACATTTTTGTTTACCCATACAATTTCATTAGAACTTCTCGTTTTTTCTCTCTCTCAAAAAAATTTAGCCATTTGAGTAGGCTGTGCCATGAACGTGAAAAGTCTGATACTCTGCTTAATTACGTCTTCATGAAAATATACAAAGTGTTATGATGAGATTCTTTGGGAATGAAGAGATGAAACAAAGGGTGACATGCACAGGATATGTTTAAGCTAAACTAATCAGATCTCATTTGGTCCCCAGTGGGAATCAATCAGTTTAACAGAGATAAACTTATTCCCATAGACACCCATTATGAAAACGAATCAGTTTAAAGTTGAACAAATCTGGTGCATGTCACCCAAAAAGTTAACTCTTACAGGCCTGGTGGGACTTGGGAGTCCTGCAACATTTTTTTCCTAGACTGTACAGGAATGTACAACCTTGAGTCCTGACAGGACTTCAGTCCCTATGACCTTTTTTTTGGAATTTGAATTTTTGTGGTCAATGATGTTGTTTCATTGTGGACAGTTGAAGGGGGAAAATTTGTTTTTACATCATTTGCATTCTTTAAATTGGGTCTTAATGGATGAAACGTGTGGTCATTTGGGTTCTGGTAGTTACAGGGTTAAATGAGTGGAAGCAACAGTAAACAGAATGAATAAAGGCATCTGTGAGAGACACTGTGCACCTCCAGTTAAAATGAAAGAGAAGAACATGAGATCCAAGTGTCTGAAGTTGCCGTTACTAAAGAAATGACCTACTATTGACATTTACGTACATTGAGACACCACTGCATTATTTCAGCAATCCATCCTATTGGAAAGCAGCTGTCTCCTGCTACCCTGTAGTCTCAAAATATCCTTGACTTTTGGTACTCAATTAGCTTAAACATATATTACACAAGAAGTGATGACACTTCCAAGGGCAAACTTTTGCTGCTTATTTCATGCCCCATCTCAAAGTATATTCCTTTCACTGACCAGCAGTTAAGAGAAATTAAAATTTCATAGGTGTTGAATATTTTATTCCTGAAAAAAACAACAAGTTGAGGAACAGTATTTTCAGATACCATTAGACACAGTTCCATTCAGAGAGCTTCCAAAGAGGGAGGAACAATTAAACAACATCAAGAAGTCACAAATTGAGAATGGAAACTCAGTCATGCATTCCTTGATCCCAGGACATATAGGAAAGTTTGGGTATGAAATTTTGTCACTGATGGTAAAAGCCACAACAAAAATATAATTCTATGTTCACCTTTCTCTAACATACAGGTTTGGAAAAATAGAGGCTTCATTTTCCATAAAGAACAATTCCAGTCAACTTTACTGTCTACAGGAGCACAGGAAACATCCTCAAGGCCTCATCCAAGAATGAAAGTAGGTGTGCATCAGGAAGAAATACAAAAACATAACTGCCATAATACTTTGGTATGTGAGCACAGTTAGGAAGCATTACCATAAATGGTAGAGTAAATTGATGCTCTGCAATTCATTCTATAAGTATGCATTTTACAAAAGGTTTGTGGCTTTGAATTTCATGGTTAAGAGAATGAAACCATGTCTCAAGGTGATTGAATATAAGGCTTTATGCAACTGCATAGGAAATTCAGGCATGCACAACCGTCAACAAAGCCACAAATCCTTTAGTAAAACATACATGCCTTTTATACCTTGGCACGTTTGTGACATTCAAGTGAAAAATTCTAAATACCAGTGCACCATATCAAGAGAAAAAACAACAGGTTCTGCCTGAGCATATTCTAACCTACAACCAATAAAGAGGAGTCTGTCCAAGACTATGGGAATGGAGGCAATTAAGACAGTTCTTTGAATGTAGAACAGGACCTGGGATCATACTCTACAGCACACACTCAACATGAGGGAGAGTTGAGTAACCTCACCCAATCCACGAGAACCAATGACATAAGCGCTTTTCATATTTCCTTGCCTTGTCTTGCTGACCAGAGCAAGCATGCCTGCAAGCATGTACTGAATGTTAAGAAAGAGACACACAAACACTACGACACTGAACGTTCCTGTACAAGTCCCTAGTCCTAAGTACTCGGGTAAAACAGTCTAACCCCCTTCCCGGGTCTCTCTCGTACAAAACAGTCGTGAGCACGACTCCTTTCTCTTGAGACAGCCATGCCATCTTCCAGAGATGACCTTGTCTGCATGCTCAGCCACAACAATGCTTGGCAGTGGCATCGTCAAGTCCCCTGGAATTCAAACAGCACATCTTTGCTACAGTTTTTCTCATTTACTGAAGTCTGCTATGCTTCAGACATGTACATTGAATTTTTTTAAATTTTAAATATACTTTCTTCAAACCCTACTCAACCAGTCCCATTAGCAACCTACAAAGATGTTAGCATTGGACTCTAGGTTTTTGATTAGTAAAAATTGATGCAACCATGATTGTGGAAAGAATATTTGGAATGTAGCTTTAATTCTTGCTCTATCTCTCTCAAAAATTCTCTGACATATACTATTTACTTTTTAAGGGGATACAATAAGATATAGCTGGACCAAAGTCATTCTATTGAATGCTTGGGGTTGTTATTACATATAAAGGAAACCATGTGGTCTTCATAAATATCAAAGCCATCTTGCCCTCAGGTATTTCAAAATAAAAGTCACTTGGTCATTTATAACAGGAAAATATAGAAACAGAGATAGAAGTAGATTTGCAAACTAAAGAAAAGCTAAGCATGAATAGTAATGTAATCCAAGAACCCAAAAGGGATTATCAAAATTATATATAGTTGTTGGAAACTTATAACTTGTAAAGAAAGTGACTTCTGCCAGTAATTTCCAATAATTATATATTTAATGGCTTTGAAAGAGAAAAGTTACCTAAGAATTATGCTAATATTTAATCCCTACACAAGTTCAAATGTAACATCCATAATTATCCATATTGCTTGAAAGTGAGGTTTATTCACTGGAACCATAGCATTGGGTGGTCTATATTACTGGTAATATAATTTTCAAACACCCTGCATTTTCCTGTTTTTTTTTTTTGCATAGGAAATCTTTACATTCAGCACCCTAAATAAGGGCATTCATACAAGAGGAAAACTTTGACAGCTCACAGCTAATTTCCAATGAATAAGTGTGAAGCCTTGATCTTGAAAAATTCACCATAAAAAATCAGTTTCTGTCGTGGACAGCTGGCAATATTTTTTTGGTATCCCTCATCAGTTTAAGATTTACTCAAGTCAAAAGATATCAAACCTATCATTACTGATAGGTTTGATATCTTTTATATTTCAAGATGGACCCCCTCTCATGAAGGGTTCAAATGAATGATCCTTTATAATCTCCAAGCAGAATTTAACTCTTAACAATCTCATGAGCATCTGATAACCAGGGTCAACATCATCAGGATGATGATGTCCATACACCAAGACAGACTAGCTTGCAACTTTATTCTTTTACCTGACCTTTCGCTCAAAAATCCAATAAGGCTGGTCCTGAATTTGTACAATATGGTGGAAAGATCACAAAACTTACTCTGGTACCAGGAGTGATGGTATGAGGGGTAATGACATTCACACAACCTCTTGTCCGAAGATCCCAGAAACGAATAGTTTTATCTTGACCTCCACTTGCAAATTCTGCTCCTCCCCATGTGTACAGACTTAGGACATGACCTATAAAAGTAAAGATATGCAACTGAACTATTTTCATATCAAGAGACAATGGAATACAGACAGAAGGGACAGGGGTTAAATCCTAAAAAGCAATATCACTCTGTCTATAATGTGCAGGGGGGCTCTCATTCAATATTTTCCTAAACACCAGAAACTACACCCTGAATGTCCAGGTGACTGCTTTGGGTATTGTGACAGAGTGGATCCTGATGCAGAATGTTGCATGACCTACATCTGAGGAATTCACAAGGATAAATGCATAAATCAACAGAACTGGTACAGATTCTTCCTCATTCTTGCTTGTAACATGAGTCAGTATTCTGTATGACCTGCAGAACTGCCCTGATGGTACTTTCTACCAACAATATTGATAATGTTCTTGCTTTCTTGCAACAAACTTTCTGTCCTCCTTTTTTTGATTGAATTCTGTGAAGCAGTTCTCATTTCCTTCTTCCAATTATTCACAGTGACTCCTCAGTCAGATACATGTACCCTTTGACTATTACAGTGGCACCCAGAAGTATTTGCACACCTGCAGTTTTACATATATTGACCGAAACTTTGTAGAAGACATTACTTTGAAGTGTAAATTACAGTGATTTCTTTAAAGTGAGGTTTGTTTTTCTAATATAAGAAGATTTATAAATTTTTAGTGACATGTCTTTCATTGTAAGAAGAACATCACTTGGTGAAAAATGGGGAAACACAAGAGTTAACAGATGCATCAGGGTTTGTGGAACTTGTTTAAGAAGTTGAATTTCCATCACTTTCTGCATTAGGGTGTATTCTGTGACTGATTCCTAATACCTTGGAAAAATCAATTAAAATAGAAATATGCATATTTATATATATGTATGTCTATATAAGAGAGGTGGCTTCAAGTTTTAAATTTGAAATTTGAGTTTTAATTACATTTATTTTGCCAGCTGGAAAAATCTGCTTTCATAAGACTCCCTCTTGAGTAATTTAATGCAAATGGACAGTGTATGACTTATGTGATCAACATATGAAAAGGGTTCACGTAATAGCTTATTTCTCTTTATACAAATCTCAAATTTAATAGAATTCCATAATATTTTGATTGCTTGCAAACTCTGTTGGAACATGCTCAAGACACATATCCTTACAGCTAAATGACATCCTAGACAGGCTCTGCTGAAGGATTACCTCTGAATGTTAGGACTGTTGCTACTGGCAGGCTATTAAAAACAACAGCAGTTTTCTGAGCATAACAGGCCTTAAATGGTGCAATGAAATTATAAATCCTTATATTTTGTGACTTTACAGCTTCCTACAAGAAGATTCCATTTGAGTGTTGTATTATATATTGTGTGACTTCAGGATGCTATGCAAGCAAATGAACCAAGAATGAGCAATTAGAGGTGGACTGTACTGATGATGGAAGAAAATAGCAAAAAGGAAACAATAAAATAAGCAATGAAGCCTGATTTCACTCACTGGAATGTCCTGACATTGCCTGGAATGGGGTTCCTGTTGCACAGTCAGTCACATAAATCTTGCAATCTCCTGCGCCTCCACTTATGAGTAAGCTGGACTTATTGCTCAAGTCTTCAATAAAACAGATATCCCTCACTGTGCCATCATGCATCGTAAGCTCAACCTCTTGACCTGGAAAAAAAGTTAAATTCTTCACTTTTTGCATTTTTCACTTCCATGTGCTTGTGGCATGCTGTATTGCAATATTGACACTACAGAAGTAGCAGAAAGTGTCTGGTTCCTAAATTTTTAAAGGGAAATCATCAGTCACAGGCAACTACATCACATCAACACTGTGGAATACAACATGAAACACCAATGACTAAAGAGAAAGTATGGAAAGCCACATCCTATTTTAGCAGAAAATATCAACTGATCTGAAAGCTCCATAATACCAAATCTACACTGTGAGTATGATTAGTAATAATGATAGACCTGATATGAGCAATACAGTATTTCACTAGCCCTCATGCCTTTCAGCATCAGATCCAGCAGAGAAAAGTTGGAATGCTCATATATCAACAGAGGACTTAATTTCTATTCCAAGAAAGCAGCTTTCTATGAATTCAATGATAGAATAAGGAGTATTGTTGCTTCCCTGGTCTTCTTACTCTTATTGGGTTAGAGGTTTTTTCAGGCTAATCAAATTCTTTTTTTTAACAAGCTCAGCAGCACCTGTCAGCCAGCCTCTAAAAGCAATCCTAGGTGCTGCAGTACACAGATTGAGAACTGCTGTCATTATAAAATTGATTGTAAATGAACAATCAATTCAAGGAAGTGAGGAAGTGAGTCAGTTTGAGTTTCCAAAAACTAAAATTAACCTAAACTTGATCCTTCTGGAGGCATTACAACTGACTTTCAAAGGAAACAAGCAAGAATTAAGCAAATGAGTGTCTCACACGGGAAGAATCAAAATAAAGCTTAGCTCATGCTTGAACAGTTTCTTCATGAACTAACAAAATGGAAATCAAGGGAAAGGACAAAACCTATAACCTAACACACTAGTCAACCATATAGAGACAAATTGAACTTGACAGTGGAGGAAAATTAAAAAATAGAAGCTAAATCATCGAACCTTCAATGTTGCAGCTGTCTGCATTGAACCTCATCAACTTCACAGTTTTATCATTGCTTCCAGTTGCGATAAGATCTCCCATTGGGCTCCATGCCAAGCAGTAGATGGATCCTTTATGATGCTTGGTTCTTTTGAAGAGCACGGTTGGTTGATAAGTAACATGGTCCTCCCTGAAAAGGAAATAGCAGTAATTAAACACAACTCCCAGCCTGATCCTCAAGGATCCATAATCAATGTTCTCCAGATATTTTTCTCTTGCGTTTAGCGTTTAGCTCATGTTTACGTTGTCCATTTATGTCGGCATGAGTCATGAAGTAGTACTAGAACTAGACAACCTAGAAAACATCTCACTGACGTCGTGTCTCGACGAAATATCTGAGATACGCTCTTTTCTGCGAACCACGTTCCTGGTAGGCTGCAAACACTTAATTCTCACTATGCCATCCTCACCCTATGCTTTCTAAGGAGTAGTCTCCAACGTCATAAGGGCACGGATTACTTCTTTTTTTTTTCGAGGTGAAGGCTCTCTTCTCAATTGTTCGGGAAACAACACAAATAAGGAAGATCAAATCAAACCTCGTGTCTTTTCTATAAATCATATGCACTCAAAAGGTTTTCAATAGTAGATGCAGCACTTTTGAAGGCATTCAGAGAGTTGTAAAAACTTTTCGTTCCCTCTTCACAGCATCCACACAAGAGAGAGACATGGATGCAAGCACGAGGATTTCTCCTTCTCTCTAACCCCCCCCCCTCCCGTTACTTCCCAGTACGAGCATGAAATAGCGATATGACAGTGAGAACCTGAGGTCCAACGTCTTTGGGTAGCCGCAGACCCGAAGCGTCTTGGAATTGGATCCCACGGCGTAGAACTTGCCGCCTGGGTGGAATTCAGCGCACCGCACAGCTTGGACATCTTCAAGTGTTGTCACCTGGATGAAATGGGGCTTCCCGTTCCCATTCTGGGCCGAGGAACTTGCCAGTGGACCCTGAAAGATATCAAATGAGTCTTTTAAATTCCAGATCGAAGGCCTCCAGATTGGTCGCAAGTTAAGGTGGGATTTCGTCGGCCTCATACGCTCGTAATCTGGCAGACAGAAAGACATGATTCCGCGAAACGGAAAATTTTCATTTCATTATTCAATTGATCTTGTATCAAAAAGTTTGCATGATCTGTTGTGTAAAAGGACATGAAGAGCACCTCGCCCAAGTCAAACTCTTAATGATCGCGATGACCAGATGGTATGCAATCGTTCTTCCACGTCTGATGTTCAAGGTTATACACCACCCTTTCTCTTGATACTGAAGCTGATAAAAGTACACCATAAATCAGCTACTTGGATTCTATTCATCAATATTGATAGCACGTTGGCATATCCACCTATTTCCTGCACCTGAACCAGAATGCAGTTTCATGTCAAGGTATGGATAGTAAATGCCACGCGCAGTATGCGTGAAAGCAATAAAAGTATAGCTGACTTTCGCGGAGAGAAGAAAATAGTATCCATGAAAAACAGGTTGATCTGGGTTCTTTTCCCAGCGATACTGTGGTTTTTATCGCCAAAACCGCACTCCGTGCGTTAAAATGTAATTTTTATCGCAACTGGAAAAGCCACAATTATAGGGCAACGTGAAAGCGGGAGAAAGAAAAGATTGTTACCACCTCTGTTATAGGGATAAATGCCGTGACCCTGATGTGAATGCAAGCTTGTCTCGCCGAGGAAACGGGGACTCGTCCGCGTTCTTGTCCTAATTGCTGACATTCTTTGGGGCCTGGAATGACTCGGCTGCTGTCCAACCTGCTTGACGCCCATTACAACACTCAACTCTTTCACATTCCCTCCACGGGCCCACCGTCTATGAGTAATCGTTCCGCCGGAACAAAAGCCCCTCTCCCGTCATAGCGACATCCCAGATTCGCTAGGAGGAAACGTTGACGGAGGAATCTAGGTCATACATACAGCGCAGCGATCAGATCGTCTGGTATCGATCAGTTATGGTTCTGAAAGCGAAGGTGCGCAAATGAGGTCGAGAGAAATCGTATTCCCATCAGCTGTCGTCCTTGCACGAGAACGAAACCACGTGTCTCATGAGGAAAGGACCGTCCCTTCCATCGCGCTCCAATAAAACAGGATGGCTCCATTTAACTAAAATGCAATCGGCGTCAGGTATCTGACAGCTATCTCGTTCTCCCTCTTCCATAGCATTTCCCATTCCAATCTCGACAATGGAGATCCATTCCGTCGAGCGGGGAAGTAACTCAAGCGGATCGGCCACAAACGGGTCTCATTTCAAGTTGCGGCCAATGCGACGGAGAAAGTAGTAAAGGACAATGTATTTAGGGGTGGCCCCTGTCCGTGTGACTCTGCCCACCTTAGCGTGGATCCGGGCAGCATGAAAAGAGAATAGAAATCACTTGAGAGGAAGCAGGTGATGAAGAGAATGAAATAACATCGCCCAGGTGAAGGGAAGGAGCCACGGTTGAGAAGAGAAGACATCCCCTCGTCGCAACCAGAAAGTGCCTCGTTTGTCTCGCTCTCAGCGTTACAAGGAGGGGATTACCTGAACAATGTCTTCAAACTCTGAGAAGTCCTGACTTAGCAAAAATCTAAAAAGTGAGGGAAAGATAACTGTTAGCTGGAAGGATATAAACAGGGAGTTCTATTATTTATAATGAATTTTTGTTAAATGTCAGTCTTCTATCATCAGGATCTCCCTAGGCTCTAGGCCAGGGTGTCCAAAGTGGATGTTCTCTAAGGCACTTTGTGTGCTACATGCGGCCCGCCGGCCCCACTTTGGGCACTTCTGCTACTAGGTCCTAGGGCCATGTCCTTACATGGTCATGAAGACAAGTTCAAAATATATCTGTGCTTGTTGTCTAGGTGAATCATGCCCACGTCCCCCAAGTAAAGAGAAAGGCATGTTAGAATCATTTTCATGACAAAAGTGGCCTCAACCTAATACAGTGCAGCACCTGAAGGGTATGAAAGCTACTTATTTGCAAGCTACTGTGTCCCGTGTTGCGAAAAGACAAGGCCTGGGGTATCAGGGGATTTAATCTTCAAAACTGAAGGAATAATGTGGGTGCGTTTCTTGGCGAATTTCAATTTCAAAGCTGACTTCGCATTATGCTCTCTCTTATGTTGATTTTCACTTAAAGAGTTAGCAATGGGAAAAAAAAGTCGCTCCCATAACCTCCAAGTCCTGTGCGATCCACATGACTTTTTTCATTTAAAATACCTCCATTATACCTTTCGCTTGATCGTCTACTTTTGGACGTGGCATGATTCTCAGCGGAACTAATCCCAATAGCAAAGCAATGCTTTGAACTTTACTTTCACGACCAGCAGATGACATGATCATATGGAGATCTCAGACAGTCCTAGGAGAAGGCTGATTTTTCTTCAAATATTGAACACCTATGTACAGAAGGTCAAAACGCGACTCCATGAATTAAAACTTTTCTCCGATCTACAAGCGAAACCCACCTCAGGAGGGGAACCACTGCTCAAGCTATCGTGAGCTAAAGAAGGAGACGAACTCCGAGCAGAAGACTTTTCCTGGCTGTCGCAAGCATGGCCACAACTGGAGCACACAGTTTTTTGAGTGTCCCCATGGAAAACTTCTTCTTCCTCTTTGCTCTTCAAGGCAGCTATCAAACACCCCTCGGACTGAGACCGTGACTGAAAAGTTTTGGAACTGTGATGTGATCCTCGAATGTGTTTCCCATGTCGATATCCTTTCGAGCGCTCATTACTGTTCTCATCATCCACGGGATTTTGGTAGAACGGGTGAACAGGCTCGGCACGCTTGTATAACCGACTGACTTGGACGGGATCGTTCTTTTCAGATAGAATGGGACTCCTGACGACTATGAACTCCTTAGGAGGCTTCTGAAACTCGCTAGCACTAGGATCGATGGTCCAGTGCCGACGGCAAGGACTTTCGAAGGCCACTTCATTCCCGATCTTGCGACTCCGATAAGGCGCTGTCGAAACCGCGCCAGTTTTCCGCGAGCCGTTGATCAAACTGGATTTGAGCGGAGGACGTGAGAACTGATGCTTCGTTTGAACCAGTTCGCATTCGTAGCAACAGCAACTGCCTGCGCTGCTGCAGCTTGCCGTAGTCTTGCTACGGATCTTGGTTCTGGAGCCAGCAGATCTCTTGCTGCTCCCCGAGCTCCTGCGAGTCTGTAGAAGCGGATGGCACGAAGGGTCGTAACAACAGTCTAGGGGGCAGGAATAGGCATCGAGACGACGGCGAGAACTCTTGTCGGACCGATGCATCCCCGAACACCACTTCCATCGAGAGTCCAGCTCTTCCAATCCCCCAAAAGAGTAACTGTAGAGATTGGAGGCGGACTGAGCACGATACATGGCACTGAAGAATGGGACGCACCGTGTACATAGAAAGAGCTGAGAAGCTCTTCTGACCCAGAAAGTCAAGAGCCAGCGCCAAGCCGACACTAACTTCTAACTGCAGCTTTTTTCTCTCCTCATGCGAGCGAGAACGGGATGGATACAGGAGCTTAACCAAGCGGAACGACCATGCTGTCTTATTATCTGCAGACTCTTGGGAGGGAATGTGCCACTCAACACTCCCTCTCCATCGCCTTCTCTTGTCCGACGCGGATTTCTTCATCGAACTATCGAACCAGGAGAAGCATCTGCACAAGTCAGTCGGTCAAGCGAAAAGCTCTTTCCGCCAGAAGGGGTCGCGAAACATTCGAACAGGAAAGTTAAAGTCTCCATCAAAGATTTGATGAATTTCATTTTGCGAGTTGGATTGGATAATGCTCACCTTTGAGACGCACTACATCAGATTTCAATTGTAAGGCACCCAACTGATAGCCTGAGCGTACTGAATGCTTTTTATTTATTTATTTATTTTAGTATTATATATATACAGGGTGGGCCAAAAAAAAACTTCGGTTATCTTTATCACTCTACAGCAATGGTCCCCCCAAAAGTTTGCTAAATTGCACAAGAGCCTCCTCATAGAAAATTCATTCAGCTTTCTAATGATGTCAACAGAATACGTGACATGACTTTCATGCAATTAGATAAAGAGCATAAGAGGTGGCGCTGGAAAAGTTGGTGCGATGGCAGCTAGTACATGCAAGAGGTCGCCTACTCGCCATAAGCGAAGGAATGGAAGTCACCTGGAGCACATCTTGTAAGATACTGTTAGGTGCACTTTTAAAGAGCTACCTCTGTTACACTGCGCCATTGCATCGGAATGAATGATTGGATCTTAAATCTTTTGACATTAGTGGAAAGCTAGATAAATGTTCTATATAATGTTATTGCATTAAAACCCTTGAGAAACTACGCTGTATAGTGTTAAAGATAACCTAATTCTTTTGGCCCACTTTGTATATATATATTAGTATTACTTATTTTTATTTATTTATTTATTTTATTCTATTTTATTATTATTATTATTAATTTTTTTTGGGGGGAGGGGGGGGGGGATAGAAAGGGGAGCACGCAGTACTTCAACCTGGATTGGCTTTCGAAGGGACTATTTTCTAATAAGATTATTCCTAACGAGTCCGTTGGGAGAAAAAAAAATCCAAGTTGGATAATCTGCTCTAAGAATCATTAATCACAGAACGCTTGGAAGCTAGTAATTAGAACTACCCTAGGACATGTAAGTCTTTTCTTGATCAACAACTATCCCGAGGCCAGAGCAACATTTCTTACGGCACTTTCTCTCAGATCCCTCTTGTCTGACCCATCTCTTTACACATTTATTTCCATAGTTACGGATGCACACATGTAGGAACATTTATATAATTTACTGTTAAAGGGTTCAAATACATCAGGGCTAGCTGGTACTGCTTACAAGGTTCCAGATTTATCGCAATTTTTTCTCTGCAGCCCCAAAACCACAGATGCCGGTAGCAGTTGACTCCTTTCAACATGAGTGAGCAAGTCCGTAGACCGCACACGATATCCCCAAGAAAGGGTGAGACAAAATAGAAAGGGAGTAGGAAGTTGCAGTGTGATGGCAGTGGATCGGCTATGAAAGTGTTAAAGGTGAAAATGATATCAAACCAGTGGGAAAGGGGTTATATAGGTTATAAGGAGTCCCATCAGTCTTCTGGCTGAATACCAACCCTACGCCTCTGACAGGAATATCCAGTTTAGGAAAGTGAAAAGAGAATCGGTAGTGAACATGTTCTCATTAAGGGACGAGGAAAAAAATTACTGCAATTAGAAAAAGTGTCCTGTTTATGCGTCGAGACTCTGGGCGGGATAACACCTAGGTCCAAGATAATTGAATACAATTTGGAAAAAAAAGCTCAAAGTTCCTTCACGTCCCTTCCTTCTGGAAGGGATCTGTAATATGGAAGAACTGGGAAGAATCGAAATTTCACGAACGTTCTACGAGATGAAGCAAGTATTTCACCCAGTTGCAGCTCATCGAAGCCGCAATGTGATATGCTGAAGTTCTGTTGCACGATGTAACTAAGCAGGAGCAGAAAGAACAGCGCACGTGGCGGCGGCTAGCTCAGAATCATGACTCAGCTTGGAAAAGCAACTTTACCTCCTCCACACAATCATATCCCGGATTCAGGATCGCATTATAGTGGGCTATCTTGACTGATATCGGATACCTTAGACAAGTGATGCACAACCTTTTCCCCATAGAGGACCAAATTGATATTCCGGCTCATGTTCGAGGACCCTCGAACATGAGCCGAAATAGGCCGCATATACTAGTAAATATAGATATTTAGAGACCGAAGGCATCCAAGGGGCCGCAAAAAAAGTATCCGCGGGCCGCGGGTGGTGCATCACTGCCTTAGACGCTATAAAAGAATAAACTTGTAAATTTTCTAATCTATTACCACATACGGCTTATTCTCCTCTCGAAAAGACAGACCGGACTACAAGATATCGTCGTGTTCTTTTTTTCCTTTTTCTTTTTTCTTCTTCATTCGATCACGTGGCTTGCTATTTAGGTGAATATGACCGTGTCAGAACCTTTCTCTTCTCCAGTCATGCGTTCCTGGAGAGGGAGAGATAGATCGTGAGAGAAGGAAGTCCTTACAAACTTGTCTCTGAGCGAGATTCTTTCGCACGATTCCCCCCTGAAAGATTGTGAAAGTGCTCTTTCGTATCATGGATACCAACCCCCCCCCCCACTCACAGACAGACAGACAGATAGACAGACAGACACACACACACACACACACGGAATGTTTTTGTGATACCATTGGGCTATTTGGATTTTTTTTAAAGAATTATTTAGGTGACGAACAGGATATTGCGTGAGCGGAAAACCCCCCCCCCCCCCCCCCCCCCCCCCCCACTCACAGACAGACAGACAGACAGATAGACAGACACACACACACACACACACACACTCCTCTCTCTCTCCGGGAAGAGTGTGTGCAACAACCTAACAAGAAATGTCGAAAACATATGGAAGCACCTGGTCCCCTCTCTAGGGAAGAGGATCGTGCGGAGAATAGAACGCTACCTCTGGGTCGCCCTCGAATGCTCCAGTATCTCTACCATAGACACAATCCTACCGCTCGAGTCTCCGTCAACGTCAACTCCTCCACAATTGTGAAATCTGAAGGCTTTATAAACTATGTGCACTAGATAAAATTCGAAAACTGGGAAGAGGGACATGTCCTACTAAGGTCAGTCATGAATGAAACATATGAAATGTTTGTCTCATGCAACTTGGTGAACAAGTGGGGGCATGCGAAGAATTCTCATTTGAAGGGGTCCTTATTGCAGCTTCGGTATAAAAAATTATAAATAGAGACGAGCACACGCCCTGTATTGTAAGCTGAACAACGAGGTGAACAGAGGATCTGACCAATTCCGCTCACGCAATATCCTGTTCGTCACCTAAATAATTCTTTAAAAAAAATCCAAATAGCCCAATGGTATCACAAAAACATTCCGCGTGTTAATGATATTGTAACGGGGGCTAAGAATCTGACGGAAAAATATAGCGGGAGACAGTCACCAGACTGGAAACTAAAAGGAATCTAACATGTACGCGCCCCCAAAATGATACGGAACGATCATTCCATTCCTGCCTTTTTTTTCTATCATCATCGCACACTCACATTCTCAGTGACTAGATGACGTTCCACTTCTATGCATTCCTCGTTGTGATGAGCCCTCGCTCTAACACACAACCGAAAAGGAGGACTGGTTTTGGAGGTAATCTTTGACAAGGCCCTCGGTGGTGTTCTGGGCGACGAGGACAGACTTCGACTTCTACGTCCATCCATGAGGACGAACCTGCAGGAACTTCGAGCGCAGGCAGATCGGGAATTGGGTTTAGAAATCCAACGGGATCTCACACGGTCGTATCCGAAGCGATCATGACCACAAAAAGCACACACATACGACGAGGTAGAAGAGGATGTTGAACATGGGTTATACACACACGCCCGAAAGTGAGTCAGATCATGTCATGGTTTACAGTCAGTGAAACCGGAACTGATCACATTGATGGCCGATCAAGAGCCAGAAGGGAAGCAATGGGGCGAGTTTCCTGAGAAAAACTCCGAAATTATGGAGGAGGAGCCAAGGGATACGGAAGAGCATCATGGGATTCGAACGAACGCGTGAGCGAGGGAGCGAGAAGGAGTGCGTGCGTGTAAAAGCCAACACAAACCACTGAGTCCCTGCTCAGATGGTCAGTCAGTCCGTCCCTCCAACGTCGGGCTTTGCTCGTGACCCTATTGCATAAGGCCAACGGAGGCAGAGACAAGGCATAGAGAGCGAGTTTCGCTTCTCGTGGACCGGTCCTCCAGTCAGATGATTTTCCCCCTTTCCCATTCTTCCCCTCTCCTGTCATGTGTGTCCATCGTACAGTACATGGTCCGGCACGGTGCAGTTAGGGCATCAACCGGTAGAGATCATAAGAGATACCCCCAAGGGCATAGAGGGATGAGATGCCGCATCGTGAGCCATACTCCTCGGGAATGTACGACACGATTGATTATGACTCTCTTTCATAGATAACATTGTTAAACTCTATAGGACTTGACAATAATTTGTAATTGCCCTTTTCTATTGAGGAATTATTCCTCAACGAGCTGATAAGGGGCATATAAACATAATAAGGGTTACGAGCTGAGAACGGGCCAACGGAATTAACTCCATCACCATTACCACGGTCAATGATCCTTGAAAGATTTCCTGGATAGTGGAATGTGGCTTTCTCTCTTACGGGTTCTTCTCGTAATCGCGAGAGAGGGTCATTCCGTGATTCGAGAAGAGAGGAGGGCAAAATGAAGCGGGCTCAAACGTCGGCAGCCTCCTTGGGGAGGGAGAATGAAGGGCATCACCCAAGGGTACGTCAGGGGATAAAAGATGACACAATACTGCTACCCAGA